TATAATAATAACAGATTGTCATTTTGCAGTTATATCGCTTTTTGAAAACGACATTTTATAACATTAATTGAGTGTAGAATATGAACAAAAGAGACATCGCAATTTCATAATTATGAATGAAAACTAAGATAAAGCCGCTTAAAGCTTCAACTTATAATGTAAATTGTAATAGGCTGTTTTTGTGGGAGACAGACTGTCTTTTTACTTATTGTTTTGACGTTTTTCTTGCTCGGGTAATTTGTGTATTTCATATTTAAGTAATTTCTATAACAATATACCAGTTTTTGGACCTACTTTTTATTTGGTTCAAGATTACTATCAGTTTTGATGTCACAAAGAAAGTAATTGTCATTATCGTTATGGTACAATTTGGTTTGATGATACCTAACCTTAAAAATATTTACTAGCCTGCCACTATAATAATGTTAATAATGTTTCAGAATAATGGGTTTGCCCGTGTACCTTATAACAGAGGGTTTCGCGAGCACCTCATTCAGAATTCTGAATGTAATTACAATTTCCACGCCGTTTTATATTGGTTTCATGGAAACTATGGGAAGTTTCAATTGCGTTTTGAGTGTTGAATGTCAGCAGTTGTAAAAAGTCAGTAAATTTTTGATTGTTTTTATAATCACTTTTACTCCTGAGGTTTTCAATACAGTTGGCAGTCAAATAGTTTAGCAAATATCAACCTACCACATGGAAGAAAAGACGATTGTGATAATTTTCAACCGACTTAAAAAAAGGAGGAGGTTCTCAATTCGACCCGTATGTATTTTTTTTTCTATGTTTGTTACGCGATAACTCCGCTAATTATGAACCGATTTGAACAAATCTTTTTTCGGCGTATAGGTAATACCTCAAGGGTGGTCTCATTTAAATTTAATAATAGAAAAAACAACCCCCAAGGGTGGAAAATTGGGGATGAACTTTTTTATACGCAATATCTCCGCCGATTATAAATCAATTTGAACGATAATTTTTTTGTTGAATAGGTATTATCAAAAGGGTGGTTTCATGCGAATTTGAAGAAAATATTTCACCCCCAAGGGTGGAAAATTGAGGATGAACTTTTTTATACGCAATATTTTTAATTTTTAGTTTTTTTTGTGTTCACGCATTTGAAGTCGGTTTTATTTTTTTTAAAAGTTATTAGAGAACAACTTAACATTAAAAGATCTTTTTATGCTAAGCAATTTCTGTGTTAAGACTTAGGGTGACTTAGGATACATCTCAATTCTTACTCATCACACAATTATTAAAGTTTATAGAAAATAATTATAGACTATTAAGACTTAAATCTGCTCAAGGAGTTGACATCTTTACGTAGGAAGATATCTTGTTTAAAACTTATTCTAAAGCCATAAAGTTTGAGAATTCCCGAATAAACATACCGAAAGTGTTGAAATAACCATGCTAATCAAAGTTAGAAAGCCAATATTTAAAGTGACATTGAACGAAAGTTTGTAAACGAAAGCAGGGAACCAACACTTCAACGAAGGACCAAAGAAAAACTTGCTCCGCTGACATTGATGGATGTGGGCGGAGTACGCGCAGCGACCGTTTTGCAAGCCAAAGGTAAACTCCAGACGAAGTACTGTATTTTAGCGGAATTCGAAAATAAAAGAGAATGATTAATTCCCCCGTGGTTTTTAAAAATGGCGTCCGAGTCTGGTAACTTTTGGGATAAGTCATTGCCGTGAGGATAATGTTTGTTTACGGTATTGCTTCAGGTTTAGATAAATGAAGGGGTTTTGGCGTTAAAGTACAGGATAAAGGATAAAATGAACATTTTTATAATTTTTTGGGTGATATTCAAACGTATAAAATGTCTAACTCCCGTGAAAATAATAATGTTTTTTCTAACTCGTAATTAAGACTATCGATAGTAAAGTGGTCACATTTTTTGCATCGACCATAGCAATAAATCTTTCATCCTGTTCTGTTATCTTATTTGCATTCTGGATACACCGGTAGTGAGCATTCAGCTAAGCTGACATGTGAAATGGCGCTAAGCTCTTATTTAAATGCTTTGTAATCCTGTCGACCCCATCCATTCGGAATGTGCAGTCTAAGGATTATACTTGCACATTTAACTAGCGCCGATGTAATATTTATACAACGTCTACGTTGCAACGTACAAGCAAAAACAACCCCTCTTCCATTCTAAAAATACAAGATTGTCGAAGGGAAAATGGGATTCGTTATTGCGCAATTTGAATTCTATGAAAAAATGGCAAAACAATATTCCCGATAGAGCTTCAAATAACAGCGTTCCCGATACATGAACCTTTCTTTTCTTAATCTACAGAATTGGGCACCGACATGTTATCTGAATAATCACGCGGCCGTCGACGGGATCGGGGAAAACAATTGGTGAACTCTTTCACTCAGAGTTTTCCCAGAAATAAGTGTTCTGTTTACGAATTGGGGGAAACTTCCAATTTTGGAGATTTGATTGTTTACTTTGCTACTGACAGATTGCGAATCTTTCCAGAGTACGAACCTGATATTGCTGTTTTGTTAAGTGAAAAGTTTAAACGGTATAGGTATTTCCGACGCGAAAAGCACTCCCCATTATGTATTTTTAATTAAAAGATAAGGAAAGGGAATTGGATCTGCGTCGATAGTATTATGTTTCAGAAAAAGATGCTTCAATAGCACTTTTTTATTTTCATTCCAGGATCTATTCCATTTGATTCACATTCTTTTATTTTTCATCATGATAATTTCTAAACTTATGGTTTTGATTAGCAGTAAACGCGGACAAAATGTTTTGTTTTATAATAAAATCAACCGTCTACAGTGGCGTTCATAATCTCGGCCCTTAACGATGTGATCACGAACTGTAGCATTCACAAGTATAATGTTGTTGAGGATATTTGAATAAGCATAATGGGCATTAAAATATACAGCGGGCTTGATCATACATCATTTTCTTCTGTGTAGATTTGTATGCGTTAGTGAAGAAAGGAAATCTACAGAAACGCTCAAAGCATACGTCATCTTTTGAATGCAATGTAATAAAAAGGCCTAAAAAGATAATCCTTATAAAGTGTACGTAATAAAGGAAGCAGGAAGGTATTTCGCGAATAAAGGTGAGATGAAATTGAGTCACATTTAAAACATTTTTGCACGTCGTACAGCAGTCACAGTACGTCATTTGTAAGCAGCTCCCCCGTACATTTGCCGCGTCAGTCAGAATACATTTGAATGAAAGAAGGAGCGATTACTTTGATTATGCTTTCCGTTACAATGCCGAGCGGAGTGCGTCCCTATTGTGTCCTTGCGTATTATGCTGACGCATTAAACGATTGAGATTAAAACATTTTAGCGAATGTCAACAGCCGTTGGTTTGTTAATTGCCCGTTAGGGATTTCTGTTCGGGAAAAACTTTTGGCGGTTTTTTGTTACCAAATGTTGGTAAATGTAGAACATGAAAGGGTTATGCCAGATTGGGGTTAAAATTCTGAACAGTGTTTTTTTTTTTACATTTCGGAGTTAACTGTTGGATTTAATTCAAGCTCCTACTTAACAATTTTAAATTGTGCAATCCATTTTTTTAGATTTTTGATAAAATTGAACATAAACACAATGACGTGATTAATTTAATAAATACCTATTTTTATAAAGGGGGAGGCCTTTGTCCAGCAGTGGACGTCTTTCGGCTGAAACGAACGAACGAACGAACCTATTTCAGCTTTAAATAATAATAAAGACAGAATATTGCACACGACCTAAAAATTCATGCATGATGATTACGGTCATAAAATTCGTGCTGGTACTAAAGTACCAATACGTAAATGGTTGATTTATGTTACCCAAACTGAACTTAGATATGTTGTTGTAATTTGTACATTTCATAATACAAAATGGGAATCGACGTGAAATTGGAAAAAATAAAATGTACCTATCATTGACCTGTTGAAGGCGTTACTGAATAGGCAACTCCAGTACCTAGTGTTTAAGTCTTGAATTCGGAGTAGATAATTTTTAGGTGAATAACCTCAATACCTCAATGGTCAGCATACAAAAACAACATTTAACGTTACTGGTGCTGTGTTCTTGACATTCTATCCAAACGTTTCTTCGAAACATAACAATAAATGGGTGGAGGAAACGTCAGTAACACGGAAGACTGTTATTTTCGTGAAGTGAATAAATGCGAACAAAAGATTGACGACTGAAAATGGCATCGAAGTAAGGCTTTACTAACATACTTGGTAGGATTTGTGACTGCTCTGAGTGTGTCAAGTCATTTACATGTTTCATAATCTTGGCACCGACTCCAGAAGTATCAATCATGGTATACCTACATAAATATTAATAATTCGTCCTAATAAATAAGTAGTTAAATAGTAATTATTTTTCTACGTTTTAGTGTAGGTTTTTTGGAGTCGGTTTTATTTTTTTTTATAAAATTTTACTTATTAAATCATTCGTTAGATTGACAGTCTAAAAACAGTTAATTCCAGTAAAAATTCTGAAACTGTCTTAATCCATTTAACACTTGGTCAGCTTTGAAGACGTTTCTAATAGGAATTTGCACATTTCGTTTAAGATCTTCAAAGTATATTCCTATTAGGATTCATTTTCGTTCATAACATGACAACCAAATTATACTCCTGCTTAAATGCCTCTTTCAAATATCTTCGGCTGATTTAACGTAATAATAATATTTACATTCTAATGATCTGACTATCCTCAAACATAATTAAACACAAGAAAAACGAAGGCAAAACATTGTTGTTGTGGAAGTGTGCGCTATATTATTCACGACAGCTCGCAATGCTGGTATGTTTTTATAAAAGAACTGGACGCACCTAATTAGAAATGGATGTTTTTTTTATTACGCGGAGGAATAATAGTTGTTTGGTTGCTTCAATTTGTATTAAAGTTGAAATTCCAATTAGGATATCTATTGGATTTCGTCTAGTTTTGGGTTCATCTTATTAGATTCTGGATATGGCTTAAGTTTGAAGTTTGTTATCGAACTTTACCTTATGAATAGGAGTTCCCCAAAAGTCGTTGAGGAAGATATTGGAGATTGGCGTTTGGGGTCTCAAGTCTCTGTTTTCTTTTATGGCACTGATGTCGTCGAAGACGAAGCCACAGTATAGGCAGTTGTGGTAGACTATGATGCAGGCTAGAACTAGGATGGCGCCCAGGCCTCTTCTCGGAGGCTCTGGGAGGTCTTCTGGCATCTGGTTCTGGCCGGCCAGACGCCGCCTACTCCGGCCAGTCCTCGTCCGAACCGCCGACACCACCCCGCCAAATCTACACACGCCACTCACGCGGTCCATCGCGATTATTGCATTACTGATCATCCAAAACACACAAACACTGTCATCATCTAAATCCCAGTCACTAAAGCAGGCTTCAAGACACCTGAAATGTTTTATAAGTTAGCTACGAAGCGAAAACACGATCACGGAACCGGGACTATAAATTTTGCTGCAGAATATCAAGAGAAAAAACGGTTAATATGCTAAAAACGCACTGTGTAACACAAAAACCATAGCGTCCGAACCAATGTTTAGGTTAGTAAGAAGCACATGTCACTGTTTTTTTTCGAAATCATCTTATTTGACATTTATGTAGTGAGATCATTACGACGCGCACGGGCACGCCCGCTCTCACGGCCGGATCGCCGACGACTGCCGAGGGGCGACGAGCGAATGCCGCGTCAAGTCACGTGACCCGTCGTTTTACTGCGGGTCGTTTTGGGATAGCGCATGCGTGTGTGAAAGGATCGCTGGCGGCAAAATATTTTGTCACACTACATCACTACACGAAACGTAATTAGATTGTTTCTATATTCTGTAAATAAGAATTTGGACACTGGCCGTTAATTACTACAACATTTATTTTTGGTTTAAAAAGTTTTGATAAGTAACGAGTATTGGAGTTTGGAGTATTGGTTACTTATTAGCCTTTTGCTAGGTGTTCAACAATGGGAGTAAGGGTACGTCAATTTGGTATGGCGAGAAGGGTGGCTAGTAAAAATATGATTGCTATCGAATCATAAACGGTATGAACACAGGGACATTATCGCAATTTGATTACGTCGTATCCTATGGGCGCATGCCCGGCGGGGGGCGGGGGGACTTGATGACGACATTTGGTCGGGTTCTGGGGAGAGCCGGGAGCAGTCGAGTCCGGAGCGTCTCGCAGTTGTTTCCCGTAAATATATTTGAGCCGACGGAGTTTCAAGCTTGAATGGAGACCGAACGCGATTGATACACTTCTCGATCCTCGAGTACCTATTTGGATTCATTTTTTCTCGCCCCGACGGAGGCGAATGATGAACACCGATAAAAGGTTTTCGATGTCGCAAGGTCTTTCGCCTTTTAGCAGGAAAGTTATTAGTTGCGTGACTTTTCTGAATTTGCATTCCGAGGATATTCTGCGAAGAACGCTTCGGGACGGCAGTTGATCTTATAAAGGCTCATTATAATGGCAGAGTAAAAATGAAATTCTAAGTGCTCTTAGCGAGGAGGGGTAACATCATAATATTGAAATGTTTTTGCATACATAAGTAAAACAAGGACTTTTAACGTTGTAATAAGTAGGAATATTTTTTTCCAGTTCACACGACTGACTTTTCGTTAAATGGAGGAAGGGTAATCTTATTTCACAAGTATGGATTTTTGACAAGGACGTCTTCCCGGACGCAATTCAATATTAGAATTCTTAGAAATTAAACATTCCTGAAAATTTCGAAGGTCACTAGATTCTGAGGAAGAAGTCGAATAGTCTGGGATAACTTACCTGTAACAAACATGTAAAACGGAAATAATTTTAAGTTAAATAATGTGGAAAAATAATTGGAAGTCGGTACGTGTTTATAAAATTAATTATTGAGGAGGCTTAAACGAAACAACATGTTTACATTTATACAAACAAAAAATTATTTGAAAGAAATTTATGTGCCTATTTTGTAGAATGCTCTACGGCATTAAATAACTTTTTTGTAATAAAGTTTTAGATACTTACATAGGTAAATTTTTTCAACATAATATAAATAAATAATCTGTCAGTATCACTAATTTCTTATGTTAAAAGATTTTGCACGACTAACAAAAACTTTAATTGAAGCCACAGGTTAACACTAGTGTAGGTAAATTTAAATACAATAACAGAATACCTGTGCTTACTTTACAAATGGAAATTACAGACTACGCAGTACCAAATGAATAATCCGGGAATAAAATTGACCAAAGTGAACTCGGAACTGAAACCGCCGGTTGCCATGTTAACAAAACGTACAAGTAATAAAAACCGTGTCCATTTGGCGTACTTACGATGTCATCACAGTTTTGGGGGTCTGCGAGAAAATATTTTTACTTGTATTTTTTTTGTTTGGCGGGGAAAATATGCTACGATATTTGCTACATCAGAAGAATTGCAATGCTTTCTTGTGCTCATTGACACAAGAATCGGTATAATTTTTCTTAAGCTCAAAAATGATTGTAAGTACCTATTCGGTAGGAAATATGGAAGAAGTATTTTTTAGTCACAAATAAAATTATTAGGTTATGTCTTGGAATTTTGGAAGCAAAGTTATTGGGGCTGCATTTATTTATGATATCAGACTTCCCTTACACATTGAAAACTCATAAATTATGTTTTTTGTGAAGTTTAGTTGGCACATATGGGCTGCTCTATTAGATTTAATACACGCGATAAAAAAGACTTTAAATTGAGCAGATGTGCAAGTTCAGATCGAACAGTGTAATCTGTAGCGAGCTTACATAAGCTACTGTAATCGATTCTTTAGAACGGAACCCTATTACACGTGTGTCGACAAACATTCGCCCGCTTTTTATTGCACAGACCCTATTCGCCCTTTGTATTTATTTGCCGAATTTGACAATATACTTATTGGGTGAGCGAACCGCTAGTCCGCTAACAATGACCCCTGCTTTTTCAATATGAACGATTTTTTTTTCAATTACAATAACGATTTCGACAGGCCCTTTGGGCCCTTTGTGGTCTCCCGGCGGTTAGTTGAGGATTTTCGTCCAATCGTGTTAATTATTTCCTTTGGTAAGTGGTCTAAGAGACCCCCAGTTTCTTGCACATTGTTCGTCCCTCTTTTCAAGTTACAAATGGCCAACTTTTTTGACAAAGAAAATTTATAGACACTTAAAGTTCGTTGAGTTAATGAATCAATTTGATAGCTAGTAATGAATGCAATTAAATTATCGCGATGAGTTTTGATACAGCGTTACAATTTGTGCTGTAAATCAGACTTGATTGGGTTTTCTCATTTTCGGCTCGTAATTTACTCAATTATTAAATTTCACAGTATCAATAAGTCCTTTAGCGCGGAATTAATATCTGACACGATTATGACTAATTAAGTAAAATAATTAAACGTTTTGTTAGTATTTTTTACAATTTTGTTCCTTTGACACATTCGACGAAACGTTTCAAAAATTGATACCTTCTTAAATCTGATATACGTAATGAAATATTTATAAAAGTATTTTACAACATATAAAACGTATTCGACATTGTTTCGGCATTGACATAATTTTCAATTAAACTTTTTTCCATAGGGCCTTAGTGTTGTCAGTTATTAGGTATCATCGATAGTAGGCATATCTCCGATAAAAAATCAGTCATGATAATATTGATCTCGAATCGCATCTTGATATTAAGAAGTACTAGGAGTGCATAAGTACATATAAGCTGTTCCGATAGTGTCGTTCATTTATTCAAAATAGAAAACAATCATGATAAATGTAATTAAGTATTGAAAAAATCAGAGTTCCATGCGGGACATTTTTTTTAAATCTTAAGTCACCTACTAATTTTGGTGTTAGCATTAAAGATCGATGTTTTTAGTATAGAGTCGTCAGTCTATCGATAAAGTACACAATGGACAGCTCTACAGGTCTCTTCTCAACTCCCATAATACTCGTAATACACAGCTAGTATATTAGGAGACCGTTTTCAAATTACAATCTCGCCAAATGTTGAAACATTGCATGTGATAGCATAATAAGGACAAATTAAAGGTTCAGGGCGAAAGGTAGGCAATTAATTTCCCCCTTAACCCTTTAATGAGGCTGCAGGAATAATTTCGTGTACGTAGTAGATAGGCCAGAGTCTATTATTAAATAAGTTGCATTGTAAATTACTTAAGGTACGGGTGTGTTAAAAACGAGAAATTTCTGGGTTTTAGGAAACGCGTCTCTGGTCGAATGATATTATAGATTCCTAATCTAATGCGTTTGATTATTGGATAGAATTAAGCTGATTGTTCTATAGCTATGTAGGTATATGAATTTTGAAAGACATGTTAAGCTTTCAGTCGATTGAATACATTAACTTATAATGTCAACATAAACCACTAAACTTGGGACTTTTAATCTAATAACTGTCAAGTCACAAGATTCCATAACAACATTTACCACGAGATTCCGTGGAGGGTAGTTGAACGGGAAGCATGGTCGATCTGTTTTAATGGTTTCAATTTATTATTTAATGGACTTTAGTGTACAAATTTGGTGTTATTTTGTGTTCTAAAGTGCAGTGAAGTGATAAATTATAAAAAACATTGAAATACTTCGAATTTGAGCGCGCATCGAGTGTCGAGTGGGTTGTCGTATGAACAACCCGCTTTGGACCCGGTGGCGTCTCGAAACCTGCTTACGGGCATACTTAACTCCACGGAATCCATGAAAAATCAATAGAACTGAAACACCCACGTTCTATTGATAACTTTGTCAATTATTTTTCACTCGACATTGGCAGAAATAAACCTCCCAGAGAGGTTTGGTTGCCAAAAAAAAAAAAAAAAAAAAACATTTACCACCCACATTGAAAACATAGTTAGCAACCTAAAATCTTTCAACAATTAAAATTCTAAATCACGTAGGAAAGAGCAACGCGTAAACCGATAGCGCCGCGCTTACTCTGAAATTCAAAATGCCAAAATTAAAAAACAAAGAAAAGTTACAATTATTAAAAATACTTGTCTTCAAAGACCGTTTTTTAACATTGTAATGGGCACTTCTCAAGAAAGAATGGCCTTATTTAGAAATTTACTTTTTACCTGCGGGCCATATAGACCCTACCCGGCAAAGGAAGGGTTAAAGAGATGAACTTTGCCGTAGTAAAGGGTAATGTTTTGGTAATGTCACGATGCTTACGGCGAGGTCTGCCCTAAATAAGTTCGGACATATTTGAAGTATTTGAACACGATTTCCCCTCGGGCGTCAACTTTCAGTGTTTGTGGTTAATGGAGTATGTTGTTTCATTCAATGTTCTCATAAAATGGCAATTTCCTGGAATATTGAGATGGCTTACTTTATTTTATTTCGATTGAACAAATATGTAGGTATCTACACTTGACTATTATCCGGTCCTTTCATTCGTATATCATTCCAGACTGCATTTCACATAACATCACAGTGATTACGGTCAAATACCTGTCCAGCAAAAATAAAGTTATTTTGTCACTTTGAAATTATAAGGCTGGGTGGCACCATCTTACTTTAACTTTAACAAACGCCAATAGTCCGTCAAACTTCATACAAAAAACACCGGTCATCATCAAAGTTACGATCAAAGTTAGGTGGTCCAACTCAGCCTAAGTGATTACTACTATAAATTCTACTGGAACATGCTTATTTATGTAAAGATTAA